TCAAACGCAAGCGTGGTCGGCCTGTTCAACTAATGACGAGGGCATTCAAAGGTTCCAAGAGTTTCTGGTGTAATACATGAGAACGGCAGAGCCTTTTCCGTGTCATCATGTTACCTTCGCCGTTCACTGTATCGCTTCGGAAAGAAGTGAAATATTGGCGGAAAGATGTGGCGTAAATGCTCGGCATAAACGTATGGATTTTTTGTCTGTAGAGGCAGAGATGCTGTGAATAGTGGGCATGTGTGAGAGATTCTAGACTGCATACAATACGCTGCATTGCCTAACTTCGCGGCTGACAGCACCGTGGAAAACATGATCAAGTCCGCTCTACACCAATCACGCTCGTCACTGCATCATTATGAAGGTCTTTCAGAAGCTTCCAATTTCATCACGTTCCCTCCCATTTGGTGTATTCAGCAGACTTCTACCTGTAGATATCTATCTGCTAGTTGCTTCCGAACTATTTTTGACGCATTTACAGTACATTATCGAGGCCAATATTTCGCCGATAATGACGGCGCAAACAATATTTTTTGACTGTGCTAATGAAGGAAAATGAACTTGGTAAAGAAATGTGGTCAAAAACTTCTGCAACCACCTGATATTGTGTACAACGACTAACATTTGACGTTTTAAAAGCATTTGAAATTTGTTCAACAAAGAAGGAGGAATCCTGTTATCGATTGAACAAACAACCTGAGAATTTTTCCCATAAAGAAGTCATCAGGTGCCTTACAACTCGAGTTGCTCCTTAAAGTTGATGCGTGCATTTAGAATTGAAAAATTCCTCAGTATGATGTAATAGTAGACTGACGTAAGAGCATTTAGCTTCGATGCACATTTTTGATTAGTTATTTGAAAGAAGCTCTTCTACAATGTCGCAGGATTACAGTCATAGGGTTTATAAAAGCGGCAACCCGCTGTTCAAATGATATCTATGTCTCGTTAACTCACTAGTCACTCATTATCTCCTTGCCTTTCTCTCGATTCGTCTATCGCCAACGAAAAACCGACACCCGCTTCACCGGCTCGTTTTCAATTTCTAGCAAATTTCATTCTCTCTGTTTACGCGCTATCTACAGCTCCCTTGTGCCTCTATTTACAGAGAGCAGTATTCATGCGTAAGAAATCGTTGAATGTGCTTCGAAGCTACGGCTCGTAAACAAGGCCACTATATTTGCTAATGCACTGCTCTGCGTAATGATGCTTTCACAAACTCAAGAACTGACGTTCAAAATTGTGAAAAAGCTTCATAGGGAATGTGATGGCCATGAACTCAAACATGAATGCAGCAAAGAATTTTTCAACTTGCATGGCTAACAATTTTTTTCTTGATTTTTTTGAGAAATGTTACTCTCTGCTTATTGTGCATGCCGCAGTGACATATGCACGTTCTACTTTGTGAATTATGGGGAGGACAGGAAGGAGACATTGATGGTGGGTGACGGACAGTGGCAGCTACTGCTTATAGTTGTAATGAGCATCGGAAAACAGAGGCCAGCGACACCGTTACCCTTTTGCGTTGACAATAGAGTGTTCACACTCATATCTGTTATGTGAGGAAGTGGGGCGACCCTGATGGTGAGAGTGATGGAAGCCTTCAACTCATGAAGGCTGATAAGATGCATCAAGTAGAGTACTACAAAACTGGTCCATTGTTTTATGTCAAAATATTGGAATGGTTGCACTCATGCGTGTTGCGCTGGGTGGAACGAGGACGCAGAATGTGGATGATGAAAGGGATGACATAGATGTGAATCATGGAAAAGTTCCAAAAAAAGTAATTCTGGTAGTGGAATCATAACCTTCCCTGCCGTGTTGATAAGTTATTCGCTCTGGCAAGTGTGTAGCTAAGATCATGTCATGGAGAAAGCTGGTTATGATGACTAGGTGTAATTACGACGTACTTTGTGAGTTCTTCAGTTTTTTAAAGTCTCGGTGGTAAAACTTCCAGTCTTGCTCCGACGAGATAACAGTCGACTATTATGACCTGGCTCGGTCACTAAATTTCAGAAAGGAAAGGCATGACCTGTTGAACGGTCAAGTTGCGGTATGTTTAGCCGAGCTTGAGAATTATGGTAAGAGCATGCTTACATTTATCACCACTGATTAATTTCATTCAGATACATATGCTTAGTCCCCGGTTCTCATTGCAGACCCCGTTTTGCAAGTCTGGAATCCGGTTAGCCCACAATGAATACGGAAGGGGAGCAAAAATTTTTGCAAAGCAGTCAATCGTCTTCCAGAAGGTACGTAACATAATGTGAGTTTTCCAGTACTGGAAAATTATTATAGAATAGTCGAGTTTTAGACGAATCCTAACCTGGTTCTAGAGGTGCGCCAAGAATATCAGCCATTTGGCACGAGGCTCCAGCAATTAAAGCAGAAATGACAACGAAGATTGTAGTTATCATATTAGCTGGAATATGGGAAGAACAGGACCTTGTGGTGTCGCTGCAACGCCCAGAACGACCCTTTTGTAGTTCTCAATCGTTGACTAAGAACGATTTTTTGTTCATAATACACTGCCGGTAAATGATTGATGAGGGATGGAACTGTTTGTCTACTCGTGTTCGAAATAGTGGAAGGGTTTTGTTAACATATTGAATATATACTTAAATTGCAAAGCAAATCGTCTTTATTCTAATCCACATCATAGTGGCGGAACCTTCTCCGTTTGCCGGAGTACGACATCAGTGTTGCTACCCTTCTAGGAGAGTCTACTGCTCCTGTAATCATAAGTGAAGAACTTTGAGATTTTGAATCACGCCCTCGCATCGAAAGCATAAATTTTTTAGAAGTTCGTTGTTTCCATCGTCATCTTTCAGAAGCTCTGAAGAAGCTTCTCTCCATACACGATGGCGTATCAAACATTCTACCAATATTTCAGCAAAGCTTGATCTGATCTGCACCAACTGCACTGACTGATCCTATTTCGGATTACACTCGCACCTAGAGAACGTTGTCATTTAAGCAGTTTCGTCTTTGAAGAGATGTTCACAGCGACATCAATTAAATAATTCGAAATAAGTGAAGTGTTGCTCAGCGGAATGTCATCTATGACATTTTTGAGAAAGTAAAGATTACTCATTCCATTATGAGTTAGCTCGCGAAGAAACTATTTAGCGAAAACAGGTTTTCTGGGCATGAAGAAACTATGATTTATTGACATTCATTCGACTTTGTGAATTCTTGATACGTCGTCATCACCAACTTCGAAGGTTTTTGACACTATATTTGGTAAAGATGTAAATTCTTGTATTTCAATTATGTTTAGGTTTTTTCGGTTCTAGGGGCCCATAGAGTGGCGTGGTTTCCCAGTTATGGTGCCCTAGGGTCGACACACGCTTGAGAGTAAGTATCAAAATAAACAGCCTCTCAAAGTGGGGGGTATGGGGAAAATGGTTCTGGAACGAATAACACGATGCAGTGTTTTTACACTGCTGAGCCTCGGAAACTTCGGTCACACACACCGTTATGTACCCTAGCAGGAGATATCTTCAGAGTAACCTTCCTTAGTTAGATTTCTCAATCAATTTCTCAATCTCTCAATTAAGCAAAAGTTTCATGTGTCAAAGTTGGAAGTACTTTTTCAAAGCTGTTTTTGTGCAAAGTTGGTGTTCTGCTAGGTGGGTAGCTATCCCCCTCTTATATTTGACGTACATGCCTTTTGGACTGTCCACTCATACCATGATCAATGTGCATATGCACGCTGATGACATCAAGGTATACGGCGTTTATCGTGAGGAAACTAATGGAGATGTTCACCACGCCTCAACTCGTTCCTTACACAATACGATGGAATGGGCTGCGGTGTGGGACATCCAAGTAATTCTCGCGTCCACACATCTTTAGTGACGTCACTTTGCAAACTTCAGATTCGTAATCTTGAGCTCATCGTAAATAGGGTATCGGTTTTTGACCATCATCATTACTGTGATAGTCGCAAGGCTTCCAGCGCCCTCCTTACTATTCTCAGAAATATCATGCACAATGACGAGACAGTTTTTTCTGAGCTGCACATTACGAGTGTAATCCCAATGCATGAGTACGGATCACAAACAATGGAGCCAAGGCACGAAACTGAGTGGTCGAGGGTCGAGGGCTATACATTGCGTATCATAAGTATAGACGCACCCCTGAAAGTACCAAGCTGACTTTCATAGAAGTTCCCGACAAACAGGCTTGTCACCATCTGAATCAGCATGCACGAAAACCTATGTTTACCAGCTTCCACGTGAATTGGAAGGAATTCGGCTTTTTTCTAACAGGTGAACATTATTTTGCCTGTATCAAAAGTATAGACGCACTCCATTAACTTGGTTAAAATAATAGGCTACACATGAACCACTTTCCATTCCAGCAAAGAAATAAGTAGGGAATGAGTACTCTGCACAATATCGAAGAATGCCACGAGGTCCGCATTCTTTAGAAACCGAGTAGGTACAGGTTCGCGCCCTGTACACAGCATACCTAACCAATTGTCGAAATACTGAACAAGTGCAGCGTTCATCAAGGTCAATCGACCGATTTCTAGTACATGACCCAGGATACTGCGGCAAAAAAAGAGTTCTGGAAGGACGAAGAAGCTAACTCCAGCAGGAACGTGCGATTAGACGCCTCTATTCCAACTCGACTATCAGCAACAGTTGAGTTCGAGCCACCTTACCGGGTCCATTGTTCAGAATGACGACATGTAGGGCAATCAAGCGCAACAACAATAGTTAGGTGTCGTCTCCGCCCAGCTTTTCCCGCTTACCGACGCCTACAAGGAGGCCCGGCCCAGTTTGTCAGAAAGAAAATGGCAACAAATTAATCGAAGATACACGTCCTCCTCATGAAGCTCTCTGAGTTGAAATTTCCTATTCAGGTCCTATTTTCTGACGAGAAATAGTTCTACTTGGATGGCTCAGATGGAAATGCGTTCTACTTGGGAGATCTCCGCAAGGAACTGAAGTTCCTCAGTAGACGTGATTTCTGTAGAGGCAGTGTGATAGTTTGGTACGGTTCCATCGGAACTGGAAGCTTGAGGTCGCCTGCTACGTCGTCATCTGCTCTTTTCTGGCACGTTCCGAAGAAAGAAAACTTTTTTTTCCAACAGGACAACGTAGCGGCCCGCGAGCAGGTTCACAAAATCATGGTTAGAGTAGCGAAATATAATCGCCATGGACTATCCTGATAACTACTCATAGAGAGCATCTAGGGCATCTTTGTCGGAGATGTTTACCACTAGGGAACAACTTCTGATAGAGTGAGCGATCTTTAGATGGCAATTGGTCAGGCATGGGATTGTTTGGATGTGCAATTGCTTTATAGATTAGTTGAATCAATGGTAAATCAAATTTTTGAAATCAATTTTAAACATGGAGGAACAATTAATTATCAAGAAGTTGTTATATGTTTGTTTTCATAACAAATGTATTAGATTTCCGAGGTGCGTCTATACTTTTGATACAGCCAAAATAATGTTCACCTATTTAAAAAATGCCGAATTCTTCCATTTCACGTGGAAGCCTGTAAACATAGGTTTTCGCGCATGCTGATTCAGATGGTGATAAGCCTGTTTGCCAAGGACTTCTGTGGAGTCCGGCTACGGTAATTTCAGGGGTGCGTCTATACTTATGATATGCACTGTATGCTTGCCCACAATAAATGCCTGCGCCGATTACGGCCTTAATCGATTCTTTACGTGTTTTCAGTGATTTATTGTTTTGTACTCAAAGTACTCAAAGGCGAATCAAAGTGGAAAATCACTTATTGAATTATCAGGCCTTACCGAGAGCGCCATTCTTGATCTCCTTGCACTGTCCGAAGTGTCACGGAGACAGATTACGAAATTTTCAAATTTTCTATTCATTCTTGTGCGAGATGATTCAGGCGTTGGCATCTGAAACACAAGGGGCACGAAATTTCGGCGTTTTCGAAAGTAAATTGAGGGAAATTGATTTGTTGGATCTTCTGAGTATTCGAGATTTATAGGCTTTGTAGTTATTAAAATTTCATTGCAGCAGCTGTTCCTCACTATCAAGCTGCGACGAACATCGAACAAAAGCCACACAATACTTCTGTCTTTTTATGATTTTTATGTGTTCCTTTCTTTTATACTTTAGAATGCTTTGTTCCTAATGAACTCATTTCGTTGTCGCGAATCAGTTCCAAGCCGTTATGGGGAAACTGCAAATCATAACACCTCACAGAAATGCCCGTACTGACTGAAGACACGCAAAAAAGTTGTTCTAAGATTGGACTTGGTTTGTGGCGGCTATAAAGCCGAGCCTTAAGAGATAGGGAATACCTAAAATTCAAAAATTCAGTTTCTGATATCCTGCCTATGGTTCGTGCCCGCCTAGAAGTGGCGTCCTCCCTAGCGCTATCCGCCCACTGACTTCTTAATACTGGATACGAAGACTGAGCATATTTCCGTCTGAAAACAACTTCAGCTGCACTTACGGAATCCCCATCTTGTTATTGTCGAAACTTCTGCTTTTTTTACCTCCCTCTGGAGAGTCTTTTCTTTATTCCAAGTGCTGCCTAGCTGGTCCTTGCTGAGTCTCAGCTGATTTTACTGATGCTCAAATCCTAGTGCACTCAAGCGTGCCATAATTAAATAGATAAAGCAAATAAATAACATCAAATGTAACGCCACGTGTCGATCAAAACGCCATATCGAACGTATTCTACTTTTAATTTATGCAAGTCAGACATTCAGAAATAGCCTTCGCGGAGGAAGTTCAAATATATATAAAAAACTTCTTAAAATGGTTTCTTGGATTGAAAGTCAACGGGCTTCGTCTCAGTGACGGGGTTTGATTTAGATGCTTGTTCAATTCGACGAACATTGGTTGATTTCACTTTTGCCGCGTACTAATCGCAACATAGCTAGAAAAATGGCTGATGAGATTGCCTGGAGCCAAGGAACACAACTTCAGAGTAAGGATATTCATCTGAGAGTAGCTCTTTAGCACCACAATGCCTAACTGCACTTCTGAATCCAGAGAAAGTGCTGTTAGAGCCCCTTTTCACCTCCTTTCTTTGATGGAGCTCACCCAGTAAGGTCGATGGTCGCAACAGTAACTACAAGAACAAAAAAGGTGTTTGTTTGAACATTTCGAGAACCTAAAGTAAGGTTACGCCTCCAAATTTTCACCGTACACTAGTAAAGCGCACTTCTTTCCATGCGTTCCCTTGTTTCGGCTCGAGCTACCTTCGATCGCCCGTAGAATGTGGTTTTTGTGAGCCTGTTTCTCTTCGGAAACTGAAAAGAACACAGATATTTTCCGTAAACGATTCCTCCTAATGTACGGGTCGAGATTAGGCGGACAAGCCTACTCTTCCATCAATGGTGTTGGGGTGGGGGGAGGAGGGTGGTGCCTAGCACAGAGATGAAGCCAAATTCATCAAAAACACGCGGCGAAAATGCCCTCGTTCTAGTGATCTGACTATCGCCGCCTCGATTAGTCTATGCCGCGACTCGTTAGAAGTGCATAATATAGCACATAACATCCATTCAAATTATATCTCACAATTATGCACTGTTCATCCATTTCAAAACACAATTCAGGAAAAAGGAGATGCAGCTATTGTTGGGAGCCCACACGTTCGGGAGACTCCCACGGACGCAAACGCACAACCAAAGCTGCTTCGATTCTGCTGAGAAGGAAGAAATTAACTACTTCGGCTTCACTCGCGACACCTCTCCTTTTTCTTGTCTTGGGTTACGTTCATTTCTGCTGTCGCTTTGAAGCACCATAACACCGCAACATAATTCTTGCCTCTGAATAAAATTACAGAACAGGCGCTTTTTTCTAGAAACATCACCTCACTCACAAGACAACGAAATCCGTTTTGAATGCCCAGTTGAATTTGATCATGAAAGGTGATAAATTCTATTGAATACATTAGAAGTAGCGAAGGAGCTTTGTGAGGTATTTCTTCATTTATCTTCTTCTCAAAACGGAGCACCCTCGAAATAGCATCTTCCTCCATTGTTGTCGCGGTTTTCTTCGACGATAGTGATTAGTTCAGTGTATTGCCTGGTTCATTAATTTCCAAGTTGGATTTGAATTTCTACAGCGAAAGTAGAAAAAGGTGCTGACTTGCTTGACGAAAATCACGCACAATTTTTGTAAAGAAAAACATACGAATTTCTAGCCATGGTTCGGCTCAAGAATTGCGCAGATTTTTCTGAAAATGTCTACTAGTTGTACTACTACTTTACGCTCTTAGGATGATGACAAAGTCAAATGACACTTCAAGGACATTTTAGTGAAAGAAAGTTCAGTCCATGACACAACTGCCTGAATGATTTCCTGTTAGGCAAAGACGCTCCGCTTCGTAATGATTTATTGAGCGACACCTTTGCATTTATTTCTAGCCAGCGCAGAATGCGTTCAAACACATAACCCAAGGTCTGTATGACTTTGATTACACTTGAAACAGTGACTCTTGTGAGCTGGAAATTAATTAGTCATTTCTCAAATAGACGGAAAATCAAAAGAAACAAGGAATGAAAGAAAAACATTTTGTCCGGCAATGAAAGAATCTCGAGTGCAGGGAGTAGCAGCAAATTCTGTGCTTTCCGCTTCTTTTTTTGTGAACAATTTCGTTCTCAAAAGAAAACGAAACACCGGGTTTCTCCATTTCTGCGCACGTTGAACGCCCTCCGCTGTGATCGCATCCGCTTATAAAACGTTGTCCACACCTCTGGCCGCAAGCAGTACTCATATGTAGCACCCGCAATTCAAAGTACTTCACAATTCGACAGTTTTTTTTGTCGGGGCGCCCCTATGAAGTAATTGTGCTCAAATAATCTCTGCTGGGAACTATTCACACCGTTGCACGAGTTTTCCTGGATGGTTATTAAGGCACTTTCTGGCTGAGAACCTATTTTGAATCAGAGAATGGGTCATAGTTTTCAGATCTCTCATTTTGAATATTTCCCTATTATTGTTTCTATGGCTTAATTTGTCATCTTACTTGTTTCATAAACAATCTAAGGGGCACAAGATAATGAGGCTTTTTTGAGCGTGAGCCGAAAGCGAATCAGGCGAGGATCAGAATTTGATGATAAATCAATAAGAAAGACCTCAGCTGCCAATACCACAGTAGTGCGGATCAAGTGAGAATTGAATGAATGATTTAACAATTTTTTTCTTCATTTTTTCGATTTCTGACTCGGACAAAGCCTGTGGCAAGACGTTCGAGCCAGTGAGATCAGCTTTTCAGGCATTATTTCGTTGCATCAGATGGAGCAGTTCCAAATGGAGCTGCTTACGAGCGTCTGGTCCGGGGTTCAACCCCTGGAAATCACCTTGTGGAGCCGAATCAAATCTTTAAAGGTAATTAGCCGCCTTAAGGCGAAGGTTGCTGTGCACATCAGTGCATTTATTCATGGTTGTGGTTCAATGTAAGAGTTAATTGATCTGCATCTGCCGGGTGAATGGGCGATATCAGAGCGTTTCTTCTATTGAAAAACTTCTGGCTGGTAATAAGACGTGGAAACGGGAGAAAAATCATCATTCGCTTTTCATATGCGACGTCATAAAGTAGACCTCAGTGGTCATTTTGCTCGACATCACCAGGCTTGCAAAAAAATCGTTGAACCAAATATCAATGGTTCATTGTTCTCGAATCGCACACAACGAATAGATTTGAGAAAGAGGAGAATACGTAGAATACGAATGTTGTTTGGTTTCTCGAAAACTTCTTATGCTCAAGAATATCTAGTATGTTATATGCTTTATTCATCTTTTGAGTGTCTTTGAATCATAGTTACCATTAAAAAATCTACGGTTCAGTACGAACAATGAACCATTTCACTTCCGTAACTGTAATGCAAGCAGCTCGATCATCTGCAGTCTATTTTTACAGAACAAGCCAAAGACCTCTCCTTATAAAGTTTCATTGAGTGACATTGCTGAAGAACTTTCTCCTTCACTTTACGCAAATCGACGAAGAATGCGGCTTAGGAAACGATGACCGAGTGGTGCGTTGATAGAGGCTGGAAATAAGGAGTGATGGTAAACATCGCCAAGAAATAAGTGATCAGAGTAACCATTCAATTAAAACGAAACCAATCCAGGAAATTCATAGCGACGTCGAGAATACATATACTCTGCCGATATTCAATACTTCTCTACTGAACATAAGTAGAGGATTGAAGCTGACAGTGAGCCTTCCCAATTAAAACTGCAGATCAGATAGGAGCAGTGTCAGCATTGAGCGCCAATCAAGTAGCATTTTGAAAACGTAGTGAAAATGGGAATTGATTTACCTTGCACATATCTTCTTATTCTGACCGGCATACCGTGTGGCTCTTCAAAACCTCCCGGTCCACCAAAACCACCTGGTCCACCAAATTGTTGAGGGCCGGGTCCATTTTGGGGTCCTCCGAACTGTTGAGGACCTGGTCCACCGAACTGTTGAGGGCCCTCTCCACCGAATGGCTGAGGGCCTTGTCCACCGAATGGCTGAGGGCCTCCGAATTGTTGAGGACCTGGTCCACCGAACTGTTGAGGGCCCTGTCCACCGAATGGCTGAGGGCCTTGTCCACCAAATGGTTGATTTGCTCCAAAACCGCCTGGATTGCTGCCTGGACCAGCAACAGCAGGACCTAAATATTGAGCTTTCAAATTCTGCAAAATCTGTGACTAATACCTGTCTCTTCTAGGCTAGGAGGGGCCAAAGTAACCAAAGGCTCTAATCCGTTATGGGGTTGTGTGTTTGTGTGTCTGACTGACCGGAAATTGATGGATTGATGAAATTACACGAGTTGCTTGCAGAGCGCCCCCTCGGAGCGCATGATGTGGTCGTAGTGAGAGCCAGGGTCAACCCTACGTTGTTACGTGTAACAACGGGGACTTTTTGATTGTGTTTCAAGGAAGCCCAATGCTAAGGAAAACTTACTGCGGATCCCCTTCTTGAATTTGGGAAGAAGAGTTTTGAACTTAGCTTTCCTGGTGTAGGATAGAAGAGGAATGAAGGAGCTCTCAATATCCATCAACAACTTGCCTGTGATTATTTTATAAACGATGTCGAATTTCTTTTTTCTACAGAGGAGGAATCCAAGACCCAGCATCCTATTAAAGATTTTCTCAGATGTATCGTTGTAATTGAAACACGACAAGGAGGTCATCATCGACGTCAAGAGAGGGGTCCGACAGGGCGACACCATCTCGCCCAAACTCTTCAGCGCCGCTCTCGAGAACGTCATGGAAGTCGACGGCCGGCAACTACACCACCTTCGTTTTGCTGACGACATCGTTCTTATAACGCCGAACATCGAGCAAGCGGAGCGAATGCTGGCTGATTTCGACTGCGCCTGTGGTAAGGTCGGTCTGCAGCTGAACCTAACGAAGACGATGTTTATGAGAAACGGATTGGTTCCTGATGCCCCATTCACGCTCAACGGAACGAACATCACCGAATGCTCCAGCTACGTGTACCTAGGTCGGGAAATCAATATGATGAACGATCTAGCTCCAGAGCTGAGCAGGAGGAAAC